TTTTCACCTAAAAAACCATATGTTGTTAACTTGTTTTTTCATTCTTGTTTTCATTTCAAATGTCATTTTTTTATTAATTTCACGCATTATGATAGCTAAAGATATTGTACAAGAACAGAACTTTGAAAAGACTAAGAAAAAGGGTATAGTACAATAATGCCCATTGTACGGCAGTTACATGATATCATCATGAAGATGGCTTCAAGTTCCTTATTGCTGCAGCCATAATCTGAGTGTTCAAATGATAAATTCAATCAGATTATACAATCAACATATGCACCACGAAATCGAACAGGAAATCTCATGCAAAATATGTGTGCATATGCATATAAAAACACATACATACCCTAGCAGCGCCAGGAATCTGATCTGAGATTATGGGATCAACCCTTCTGCTTCGTTGAAATTCACCGGAAATCTTCTGCTCCTTCCTCTTTGTTACTGCAGTTCGTTTATCAGATCCCACATCATAGTTCACCGTCAGTGTTTGATCATCTTCCATTGATAAATTATCCAAATTCTTGTTTTTGTTGCTGCTTTCGCTACATCCTACACCCGCTGATTGTGTGTTCTCTTCGATAGATTTGCTCTTGCTTCCTGTAACGTAATCACGGGCATTATCTTGGACAGCATTCGGCTGGAGATTCTGACCCTTTCTCGAGAATTGTGTAGCCGCTGCTCGTGCACCAGCAATTGCAGCTGTGAGACTATTGGACTTTTCAACCTTGATCTGTGTCTTCTCTAGGATTGTGATAGAAATAGAACCCGGTTTTAAAGAAAATGGATCTTTCGGATCGGGAAGTGGGAATTTCACATTAAAAGGCCCTTGGACAGGAGCAAGACCTCTGACCGCAGCTTCGTAGATCTGTTTCATGGAAACCATAGTTACAGTCTTACAGTTATGTGTGACTGTGTTATCATGAGAATTTCTTGAACATAAATGGCTTCTAAGTACCTTCTTTTCCAAGTTATAAACGCCCTGGAACCCGCGCATCTCAAAAGGGATTATCAACTTCTGCAATGGAAATACAGAACAAGCATTCATATACATTATTATATGCAAAGATATAAATCAATAGGATGAAATGTTCACCTGTGGCTTCTCACATAGCCAACAAAAATCTGTTTGCCCTTCTAGCCTCACCTACTCAACCAAAGAAAACAAAACAATCGGTTATGCTACAAATATCAGTTCCTTGATACAGAGACGCGTTTCATGTTAGAATGTAAACTTAGGGTAAAAACGAGAAACGGTAAGAAAATCGTCTGACCCCTTCGGGTAAAGCCTCCCAATTCTGAAGTTCTTCACATTTAACACAGCCAACAACCTCCACGCATCCTGCATCAATACAGTGAGGGCATCCATATTGACCAAAAGATTTTTAGATCTGAAATGCTAAAAAAAGTATTATTTCAGGACAGAGGAATCATCTTCAAACCAATGAATGGCTGAATAGAAAGAGAGATAAAGAGTATGGATGATACAGTATACAGATAAAGATTATCTGTGTAATATATAAGCACAAATCTTGCTTTTGAACCCATGCCAAAGCCTAAAATTTAGTAACATTGAACCAGAAGGTGACAAAAGTAAACTGAGAATTCACTTTCTCTATATTGCCAGTTTGGGTATAATCTACTCTCAGCTAACACCACTTCAAAAAGGCATCCTTTCTCTTCTTAACAGTGTGCTGAGCTAAATAGGTACAATCTGTTTGCCGAGCAATAGAAAGATATCTTTAAGATGGCGAAAGAAAGGCCGTTTCAGTACTAAAAAGCTACAAGGACAAGCACGTACCTAGGAGCCTTGAAACTGGATAATGTTCCGGAAAGTTAATATCAGTGACCCCATTGACTGCATAAATTTCTCGGTAGAACTCTTCCATCGCTTTGATTGTAGCTTCATCCGGGACTTTACTAGCAGCGTGAATCCATAGACGGCCTACAATGTTAAAGAATTCTGGATACTTAGGTTGTGTCTTTGATATCTTTTGGCAAAATACAATGTTATCTTAGGATAAAGTCTCGTATTTTTCAACTGGATTTTCAAGAAAGCAACAAACTTATAGTCAAGCAATCAAGCATATACGGAAACATCACGGAAGACACACAAGAGTATATATCAGATGCAACGTCAAAATCGAAGTAATGGCTTCTTCAAAAGATGTAGAAGTTCTAGAAACGTGCGTATCAGCATAATTTTCTCTTCCCTGAATTTTCTAGGCAACCAAACAGGTCAGAAACCAGAGCTAGTCTCCCGTTCACAAGAGCTCAATTCAAAACAATAAATGGTTTTCGCATCTCACGCGACGCAAAGCGGGAGAAATTTCTTTCCTTTTCTCAGTAACCAAACATTGCAAACGCCAGATTCCTAGGGCATGCCCCACAAGCAATCAATCAAAAACTACACATCATTAATCAAACCAAATTAACTGACTCTCACAGAGGTCCGTCTCCAATTAATACCCTCCCTCGTTTTATAGACAACCAAACACCAGAAAACGTCAAACATACATTACAAATCCCACCCACCTCCCGAAATCGAATCAAATCCCAAAATCACGAAAGGATTCTCCAAATTTCGGGAAAAAAAAAGTAGGGTTTATACCTCGAATCGGCGCAGGCCAAGACCTTCCTTCGACTCGCTTGATACCGTAAACCAAAAGCGAAGCCCATGGTTGATGCATGGTCAAACAAGGGTTCTTGTAATTCCCAGGATTTCTTACGGCTCCGCTTCTCATGTCCAAGGTTTCAGACCCAAGCTAAGAACTTTACTTTCGATTAGCGATTTTCTCGGATGTGGTTGGTTTCCACAAATCTGGCAAATCCTTTTCTCGACTGAGGAGAAGGAATTTTGAAGGAGATCTTTTTTGCTTCCGTGAGATCGGCAAGTGAACAACCCACAACGCGTCTCAATCGTCGAGCCCCTTTATTATTATTTCCTCCATCTCTTTCTCTTTAATATTTAATTAATTTAATATATTTATTTATTTAATATTTTCTCTTTTCTCATCGATTTTTCTCTTTTTATTAAATATTTTTCACATTACTCTCTATTCTCTATTTTTTGATACGTGTAATATTATAAACATATGATCAGACTCATTTGATCTTATGATCTATATGATTTCGTATTGTGTATGATCATGTGATCTATAACTTTGTAAGCTTTTCTATAGTATTAGAGTTTCGATGCCTGATCAAGGAACATACATTATGATATAACGTAACAGCAGAAATTATTCTCCATAAAGTTAACAAAGTAGATCACTTTCATTAAGGCTATAACATTTTACGTTTCGAGCCAAGTGTACTTGCGCTCCCAAGCCTTGTTGCCCCAATTAGCGGGATCGTCGTCTCTATCCCGAGCGAAGTAGATGGCGTCGTCTCTGACATCCCACGAGAAGACCTTGAAATTTGGAAATGCTCGAACGTCGGCCCCTGCTGCCACCAGCATTCGTATGTGGTCGTGCCCCAGAAGTTGTCGTCCACGTCGAACTGGTAGAACGAGCCGGGACACGGCTTTTCCATGGTTGCACTGCAGCCTCAGGATCCTGTCCGACGACATGCTGTTCTTGAACCACACCTTGTTGTTTTTCAGTAACGGGGCGGATATACCTTCCTCGAACGCATTCATCGCCGCCGCCAAACAGATGAGAGCGATGAGAAACTCACGTTTGGGGGACATGCTTAATTTGTCTCCTTTTCTCTTTCACTTATTGATGTTTGTGTTGAAAAGCATCTGAGCTATTTATGCATGTCTTTCTCGAGTTGATTTTTTCTTTTTTTCATAGAGCAATTTTGGATATTTTGATATTTGTGGAATGGTTATCGTAAAGAATATGAATATTCGTGCACATGGGTCGGGATTAGTATGGGTCTTTGGGCTTGGGATCACCCAATTATAAAAAAAAAGAATATAAATATTGTAGAAAAACATATTTTTTAGGAAAAATTTCATAAAAATTATTAAAAATGTGCTAAAGAAGGTTTCTGATTAAAATAAAAAATCTAGATATTAAAAAAAATTATGAAAAAATCTACAAAAAATTTCAAATTCTTAAATATGCGTTACAAAGGATTATCAATTAACAATTTACTAATAAATTCTCAATTCTAAAACTTTGATATATATATATATATATATTGTATAATATTTTCTATGATTACAATAAAAAATCTAGATATCATAAAAAGATCCTTTATATACAAACATCCCAAATTAATTCTTAAAGATGTGCTAAACATTTTTAAT